TTTTTTTTTTTTGAGACGGAGTCTCACTCTGTCACCATGCTGGAATGCAGTGGCAGGATCTCAGCTCATTGTAACCTCCAACTCCCTGGTTCAAGCAATTCTCCAGCCTCAGCCTCCCAAGTAGCTAGGATTATAGGCATGTGCCACCATGCCCAGCTAATTTTTGTATTTTTAGTACAGACAGAGTTTCACCATGTTGACTAGGATGGTCTCGATCTCCTGACCTTGTGATCTGCCTACCTTGGCCTCCTAAAGTGCTGGGATTACAGGCATGAGCCACTGTGCCCGGCCGTAATGTTTCTACACTAGAGACTTCTGCTTATCAATAAGGACATTTAAACAAAAACCAGTTTAAACTATGTGCAGGCAGTCTGTGCAGCAATCTGTGGGCTTGTTTGCTGAGTCATGGAGTAAAAACCTGTTTAATTTCAATAGATATTGTTAAATTGCCAACTAATGGGGAGGAGATTACCATTTTACTTCTCAGTAACGATGTACGAGTGTTTTTCTCCTTAGCCTTGTCACAGAGTATTGTCTGACTTTTGTAATTTTTGCAATATAGGTGAAGAAAAATTGTTTCTTGCCATAGATTTTTCATTTCTCTTATGAAGTTGAGCATTCTTTAATATGTTTAAGGTTCTTTTGTTTTTAGTATGTCTGAACTTCTTATTTATAGTTTGTCTTTTCCTCCACAAGTAACAACTCTTCTTGTGAAATGGCAATGAGTCCTTTGTGATATCAGTTGCAAATATTTTTGTAATTTTTCTTTGACCCTGCTTTTATTTTTTAACTTTGTTTTTGTTTTGTCATGCATATCTAATCCTCCCATTTCTAATCTATAGGTAAATTATTTTAATCCTTTTAATAACTTGCTCACCTGTTGACCACTTGATTTTTTTCACTGAATGACTTTGTTATTGTCAAATCAGGGCACACATTTCTCTCCAGCCCACTTAACATTTGCACACATTGGACACCAGTTTTTTCATTAATTAATTCATTCAACAATCGTTTGTTAAGGGCCTATTATCTACCAGCAACTGTGCAAGGTTTTCTGTAGAATGAAAAGGAAAATTAAGCTTCCTATTCATAAGTACTCAGAGCAAAGTAAGAGAGGCACGAAAGCACCATTTTGGATTATGTGCCAGGTGCTGTAGGAACACTGAGGAACACACTCCACAGTGGGCAGATGTCCGGGTGGCTTTACCCATATTATATGTACTTGAAAGCTACATGGAAAAAAATGACCTAAGATACAGAGCCGAATTCCATCATGTTAAGAGGAAGGTTTTAACTTTTGGCATGTGATTTCAAAGTTCTAAGTTAGAACTAAATTTTTGTCATCCTGCTCAATTATATGATATAAAACTTGGATTGTGTGATACAGAACTTGGTCCTAGCTTTTCTGAAATCACTTCTACTTCAGGTGGTTTAATACTGGCTGCTGACTACTCCCAGCTTGAACTGAGGATCTTGGCTCATTTATCCCATGATCGTCGTCTCATTCAAGTGTTAAACACTGGAGCTGATGTTTTCAGGAGCATTGCAGCAGAATGGAAGATGATTGAGCCAGAGTCTGTTGGGGATGATCTGAGGCAGCAGGCAAAACAGGTGATTTTAGTGAACATGCTTAATATAAAGGAGAAGAATTTAGTGACTCAAAAAAATTTTAAAATGGTCTCAATTATTTGCAACTGAGAAACAGTTTCTCCAACTTTGGATCTTTCAAAGCACATTTCATCTGAGCTTATCTCATGGTATTCATTATATTTTCTTTTGTGGTGGCAGTAGAAAGAACCAAAAAGACTGAGATCTGAGGCTACTTCGTGTCAGGAAAACCATATGCATTTAAAGCCATTGTATGGCTGGTCACAGTGCCTGGTACTCAGTAGATGTCATTGTGGCAGTGGTGGTAAGAGTGTGTGTGTTAGTGTGCACCCGCATGTGTGCTCATGTGTATACTTAAAAAACATGTTTCTAAGCCGGGTGCAGTGGCTCACGCCTGTAATCCCAGCACTTGGGAGGCTGAGGCAGGCAGATCACGAGGTCAGGAGATCGAGACCATTCTGGCTAACACGGTGAAACCCCGTCTCTACTAAAAATACAAAAACTTAGCCGGGCTTGGTGGCTGGCGCCTGTAGTCCCAGCTACTCGGGGGGCTGAGGCTGGAGAATGGCCTGAACCCAGGAGACAGAGCTTGCAGTGAGCTGAGATAGCACCACTGCACTCCAGCCTGGGCGACAGAGCGAGACTCCATTTCAAAAAAAAAAAAAATCTTTTTAGTCTGTAAGTGTTCTGAGGTAAAGTTCTATATTTTCGTGTTTGTGTTTTTTTATAGCATCAAGCCATAGTGCTTTGTATAGAAGGTGGTCTTTAAATGTTTGTTGAAAAATATTGCTGACCTGTAGATTATAGTTAGTACCTGATAGCTTTTTAGCTCTTGAAGTTATTGGTTAGTTAATCCACTTATTAGGCAAAGAGTAAGTCAAAGGCCACATTTATGCCATTTCCTGGCCTGGATTAACACTGATACTTTCTTACCACATGACTCGTGGGAAATCGGATGCCATTTGCAAGACAGTAGGATTGCTAGCTGACGTAAATGCACATCACCGTACTCTGAGATCCTGCTGTTTTTGTGTTTTTGTTTCACATTTACACTTCTAGTTCCTCAGAGCTGTAGGGTTTGTTTGTTTACTTACTTACTTATTTATTTATTTATTTTTTATGGAGAGGTGGGATCTCAATTTGTTGCCCAGGCTGGTCTTGAACTCGTGGCTTCAAGTGATCCTCCCACCTTGGCCTCTCAAAGTGCTGGGATCGCAGGCATGAGCCACGGCACCCAGCCTCACAGCTGTACTTCTTGACTGGCTTATCAAGCATGGAACACTTTCTCTAACCACCTATTTAGCACCAACACTTGTTTCTTCCAGTATTTAAAAAGCCAGCTCTGTCCTCTCTGTCTGTTTAATCCCCAGAGGCGTCCTGCATTTAGCAAGAATCAAACCCTAGGTAAAATAGATAATATTCCCATATTTAATTCTCATAACCCATGAGCTAGCTATTATTATTACCATCACCATTTTATAGAGGAGGAAACTGAAGCACAGAAAGTAATTTGCTTAAGGTCATGTAGCTATAAGTGGTAGAGCCAGAATAAATTCAGAATGCCAGAACTTGGGCACCCTGACTTCCTATCCAACACACTTCCCCGCCGGAGACAGCTGCTTCTATTTAATAGATTCTCACATGATTTAAGTGTTCATGCTATTCCAGTTTTTGTTTGTATCACCATGTACTGAACCACCTAATCCCTGAGCCTTGCTGAGATCTCAGACAGCACTAAGTAACATGAGTTAAAAAAACAACAGTAGTAACAACAAAATAAAACGTGAAAAAGAAAAAAAGGAAAGGAAAAAAAGCCCTCTCTCAATATATTAAAAAACGTGGGGATGGGGGTAGACTTTAGCTAGCTTATGTTGCAAGTTTTTTTCGGAATTCTGATAATCATGCGAGTTATCTTTTTAGATTTTATTTAATGATATGTGTACAGAGCTTGCTTTATGTCAGTTTCCTATACAGTTATAAGTAAAACCTAACAATCCTTTAAACCCAACAATCCTATGATATATGTATTACTGTCTTCATTTTATAGATGAAGAAATTAAGGTACAAATTGGTTAAGTGACTTGTGCAAGATTATACATTTTGTGAATGATAGAGCTAGGCTTTGAACCCCAGCAGTCCTTATGATTAAATCAGACTTTCTTTAGTGGCCTATTTAGATCATTTCCCTTCACTACTCCCAAAATTTTCTTAGGTGTTTTTGTTTGTATTTAAGTGAAACGAATTCTGCAGTTGTAGCATTTTAGGTGGCTGCGAGGTGAAGAGGATATTTTTTACCAGTTACGTCTTCGTCATAAAGTCACGAAGCCTACTCTTTCTACCTTCAGGTCTTCAAGGGCAAGAAGAGGGATGTTTGTAATGCTTCTCTTCCCTGACTCCTAAGCACTTGAAGTGGAAGTTAATGAAGTTCTGTGAGGAGTTAAAAAGTTGCTATAAAGACTGCTGGATAAATGACAAATAGTCAAAAATAAATTTTTCCTTAGATCACACATACCTATTCACTGATACTCCCTCCTGCCCTCCTCTCTCTCTCTCTCAAAAAGTAATGCTGAAAGGCAGAAAAGATGTTTGCTGGATATCAGCCTCTGGATCTAACCCACCAAAAGCAATCTAATTTTTTGACTCACTGTGAAATAAAAAGTTTGCCGAAATTCCAATCCTAATGAACCCTTTTATTTGCATTTTATGTACTTATAACCTTTATTTGTTGGATGACTCCCTTTCAGATTTGCTATGGGATCATTTATGGAATGGGAGCTAAATCTTTGGGAGAGCAGATGGGCATTAAAGAAAATGATGCTGCTTGCTACATTGACTCCTTCAAATCCAGATACACAGGTAATTTATCTTCTAGATAGTATTCTTTTCAACCATCTTACCATATTATATTCTTAAAAATTTGTATAATGGAATTTTCTTTTGAAATATGTATTAGACATTTTCATCAGGCATTGTTAAGGGTAAAAAGTATTAACCTTATAATCACTTACTAAGAATGTGATAGTCTTATTTCATATTTTTCATTAAAGTAGGGACAGAATAGTAAAATACATCAAAATAGCAGTTGATGTAAATCTACTGTGTCATTGTGAACAACCCATAAAATCTAGGAGTTGACTGGTGCTTTGGTTTAGATAGCCGTAGTTCGAAACAGTTAACTATTGAGTATATATACTAGGAACTCTGATAATTGCTAATTAAATATATGGGGAATTCTGAGAACAATTGCTGTTATGGAGCAGTTTGAGTATTGTCTAAAATGATCTTTTTTGCCTGTTTGTTGTGGTGTAATTTACATATAATAATAAGATTCACCCTGAAAAAGGTATATAGTTCTGTGAATTTTGACAAATGCATATGGTCATAAAATTTACACCACAACCAAGATATAGAACCATTACTCTATCATCCGAAAAACTTCTTTTATGCTCTTTTTAAATCAACCCTGTCCTTTACCCCCATTGGTACTGAAGCAAATAATGCAATACTGGGCATGGTGGCTCACGTCTGTAATCCCAGCACTTTAGGAGGTCGAGGTGGGCAGATCACGAGGTCAAGAGATCGAGACCATCCTGGCCAACATGGTGAAACCCCATGTCTACTAAAAATACAATAATTACCTGGGCGTGGTGGCATGCACCTGTAAATCCCAGCTACTTGGAAGGCTGAGGCAGGAGAATCGCTTAAACCTAGGAGGCGGAGGTTGCAGTGAGCCAAGATTGTGCCATTGCACTCCAGCCTGGGAGTAAAGAATGAAACTCCATCTCGAAAAATAAAATAAAATAAAAAATGAAAAGAATCAAGCGGAAATTCTGGAGTAGGAAAATGCAATTGATATGTTGAAGAGTATCAGAGTCTCTTAATAGCCGAATTATTCAAGCAGAAGAATTACTGAGTTTGAAGACAGGCTATTTGGAAATTCACAGAGGAGACAAAAAGTATAAAAAAGGATGAAGCACACCTGCAACATCAGAAAATAGCCTCAAAAGGGAAAATCTAAGAGTTATTGGCCTTGAAGAGGAGGTAGAGAAAGAGATAGGAGTGGACAGTGTATTCAAAGGGATAATAA